AGCCCACTTCATTGGAGAACAGGGAGTTATGGGAGACTATCTAAAGGACACCCACTCCTTCCAAATCTATCCCCAATAATGTACACTGTCGAAGAGTCATGCCTCCAAGCTACGGTGTTTCACCTTCTTTGTTCAGCTGAGTTTACTGAGTTGCTGTTGTATTGGGAGTAACGATAAGAATTTACCTTGGGGGCTGGAGAGATGGCTTGATAAGAATGCTTGCTGCTCCTAGAAAGGACCAGAGTTCAGTTCCCAGGACCTACTGGCAGCTCACAACTGCCTGTAATTATAGCTCTAGGGTATCTCTTGCCCTCTTCCTGTCTCCATGAGCACCTGCACACATGTGGCATATATATACATAGACACACACATGTATGATTAAAAATAAGTCCTTAACTAGGCCAGCTGGAGCTACAGGGAGACCCTGTCTCAAAAAGAAAAAAAATCCTTAAAAAGAAATCTACATTTAGGGTCAGTGAGGTGGCTCAGTGGGTGAAGGCACCTGCCACCAAGGCTGCCAACCTGAGTTTGAACCAACTCTTGCAAGTCATCCTCTGACCTTCACACATGTGCCGCAACATGCACACACATACACACATATGCACAACTTACAAATAAATGTAATAAAATTTTAAAATAAATCTACATTGAAATTATCTTCCTCCAGCTTTTCCTCCTCCTCCTCTTCCTCCTCCTTTTTGAGACAAGGTCTCACCATGTAGTCCAGGCTGGCCTTAAACTGGCTATCCTCCTGCCTCAGCCTTCTGAGTGCTAGGATTACAGGCATGGACCATCAAGCCTGGCTTCCTTCGAGATTCTTATATGGACTTAACATGTGAAACCTATTATTATACATATGTATGGAAAGCAGCTTAAATCTTGCCTAGGAAAAGTCGTGATAAGTGAATGTGAAGAATGAATAGATAAATATGATCTGAGAGATGATTGGCTACCCGGCTGGGCTTCATAATGATGGGGACTTAAAGGGAAAGAATGAAAATTCATGCTTTTGAAGGTCTATGATGTGCCAGGCCCTTTTAACAAATGCTATACTAAAATGAAATCATTTACTCTGTGTGTGTGTGTGTGTGTGTGTGTGTGTAGGCCAGAGGTAGATATTAGGTATCTTCCTCAGTCACTCTCTACCTTAGTTTTTGAATCCGGGCAGGGGTGGGGGGGCCCTCACTGATTTGGCTGCTCTGTCTGGTCAGTGAGTTGTAGATATTCCCCTGTCTCCTCCTCCCAAGTACTTCACCCACTGAGCCACTGCCCCGACCCATCATTTCCTCTTTTATTCCTACCGTCCTTGGAGGAGGCCATTTTACAGATGGGGAATCGCAGAGTAGTAACTGCAGAGTACTGTGGGAGTCAAGTTTCATTCCGGGCCACCTGACTCATGCCTGAGCTCTGTCTAGAACTCTTCACCGCCACACGAGCCAGGAAATTATCATTCCTTGGGTTCCTCAGCAGCAGTCAAGATGAAAACCGCAGAGCAACCGCCAAACTACTTCCCTCTTCCTGGCCAGACTGTCCAGCAATCACTCATCGTGTGTGCTGCTGCTGCCCCCTGCTGGCAGCCTCCCTCGTCCCGCCTTGTCTTTGGAAACGCCAATCTTTGGTCAGGGAGGGAAGCCAAATGCTGATGGCCAGTGAAGAGAGCAAAGCTATGGGGAGGGAGAATGCTTGTCTACATCCCTGGGGATGAAGCTTGAAGATGCTCTCAGTTTGCACCTGATTTCAACCTGTCTTCAGACATGGAAAGGAAGTTCAGACTCTGCCATCCTGACCACCTGAGTCTGCATGGTGGTGGCTTGCTAAATCTGGGCAAACCATAATTCCAGTGTACAACTCTGCTCACAGTGACAACCACAAACCAGTAGGTAGCAGACAGTGTCTCAACTGAATCCAACTAGCAGTAAAGCTAGGCCTGGTTACTCAAGGAAGGTGGAGGGACCCAGGGTTCACTACATATCTCCGTCTATCAGTGACTTGTGCTGCTGGGACCACAGGGGTTCTTCGCTGCCTCTGCCAAAGACATCCACCACACACAGAGACATCCTGAGAAACAGGATTTGTCATCTGGGGTGGATGGTTAGCTTTCTGCTTCTTTGTTTCCCTTTCCTGGACAAATTGAGCTGGAGGGCGGGAGGGGGGGTGTACCACGGGGTGGTGGGGCGGGGATCACGGGGTGGTGGTGGGGGCTTATTTCTGACTATTGGGAAAAAAATAAAAAAAAAAAAAGCAAGAATTGTCAGGACAATGAAGATCTCATCAAAGCCTCATCTTACTCCTCAGCGGTCAGGGCCCGCACCCCTGCATCCCTGCACCCCCCTGCACGGTCTTCTAATTGAATGCCAGGCTAATGAATAACTCCCAGGAACAAAAGCCCCTTTCAGGCTTCCCGTCATTATGAGAGGGGCCTCGCCTAACTGTCGCAGCCTACCTCTGTTTGCAGGCCTGCCTCTAAATTTGGTTATTCACAACCTCGATAGCTCAATATTATTGCCTAACTTGATCATTGTCTAATTATCGTAATAATACCTATTAAATAATTCCCATTAAATCACTCAATTGGGAACAGCGGAGGCCAGCTTAAATACAAGTTAACCCAATAAACACTGGTCATTTGCTTGAGCGGCAGGGCGGTCTCTTAAAGGCACCACATAGAATACTGAGCCACAAAGGACTACTACCATAGCACAGGTTGTTATCATGAGTTAGCATGTATTAATTTTGATGGCCCGGCTTGCAAAGCTCTCATCTGGCTTCCTTTGAGGCTGGTCACTTGGGTGACTTGACTCTTTTTGGCTCTGCCCCTGTTGATTTCCATCCGCCACCCCTACAAGGACATTCAAGGAGAAAAAGACGTATAGACTTAACACGGGAATTAATTTACTGTGGATAGAAAGGGAAGGAATGAAATACATCTTTTGGCTGGCCTAGTGCACCTTTGACAACACCACCAGCTGGCCACATTTCTTAAAGTATGGCTCAAAAGAACTTCATTTTTTCCCATTTTTGGAGATTGAGGGTGATTTCCAGAACTTGCTTTAAATATTTGGTGTCTATTGTTTAATTTCCAGGCAGTAAAGATTACAGAGATAATTACAGCTTTACAAGTATTTTGTGTGAGCGTTGACAAATACTTTGTAGACTAATACTTAGGTAGTGTTCATTGACTGCCTACGTGTGAGAGACTCCAGTAGGTGCCACCAACGCCTGAATTCTCAAGATAACCTGGTATAGTAGAGATTAGCTATAGAGAGGTTGAGGGATATTCCTAGGACCGTCCAGCTCTAATAGGTAATATGATTTTAGTTGCTTGTGATGCTAAGGCCTAAACCCAGGGCCTCATCATGCATGCTAGGCAAGCTAACTCTGAGCCCCATCCCTAGACCTTCACTGCCCATTCGGCATGAAGTAGAATAAATTTAAACAGAGGTTACTTTGTGTGTATGTGAGTATGGGTGGGTGCACGTGTGTGTATGCATGCAAGCGTGGGTGTGCACGTGCATATGGAGGCCAGAGGCCAACTTTGGGTGTCATTCCTGAACTGCCATCCACCTTGATTTTTGAGCCTAGAGATTACCAATTGGGCTAGGATGGCTGATCCCTGAACCCCAGGGATCTGTCTGTCTCTCCCTCCCTAGCTCTGGGATTAATGCACACCAGCATGCCTGGCTTTTTACATGAGTTCTGGGGATCAAATTCAGGTTTTTGTGCTTGTGCCATAAGCACTTTACCACTGGGCTATCTCCCCAGCCCAACATAGGCTCTTTGGTGCCTGTACGTTTACTTTCCCCACTGTGCCCTACATCAGCATGTATCTGTAATGGCACATTAAAAAACACCCTCAATTTGCTGATGTAGTCTTCTCATTTCCAAAGTTCTCACTCCAATCAGGAAATTCCTAAAGACAAGTAAGTATTAGAGCCTCCTTGATTGGGAATATTATTATACCAAACACCAAACACCAAACAAGGGCAGTTCACAGCACCAAAAGCCACACAACCAGGTGGAGCGCGAGCCCATGCATGCCTCTCTTGGTTCAAGCGGCAAGGAGCAGTCAGCATTTTTTAAAGGAAGCCTCCTTCTGTTGAGCAAATATGGGCTCTCTGTATATGGAAATTCATGGTAGGATTTAGCAAGAAAAGAAACACATGCTGTTTGATCACCTGCTGCATGCCAGCCCCGGGCTATGGCTTGTCTGTAAGTGGTCTGTGTGTGCACGTGCATGTGGAGACCAGAGGTCAAGGTCAAGTGTCTTCCTCAATCACTTTCCACCTTATTATTACTATTTTTTGTTTGCTTGCTTGTTTTTTTTAGATAGAGTCTCCGTGTAGCCCTAGCTGGCCTGGAACTCCCTACGTAGACCAGGCTGGCCTCAAACTTACAGAGATCTGCCTGCCTCTGCTTCCCGAGTGCTGGGATTAAAGGTATGTGCTATAATGCCTGGCACCACCTTATTTTATTTTTTGAGACAGTGTCTCTCACTGAACCTGGAGCTTACTATTTTGGTCAGACTGGCTGGTAAGCATGTCTCAGCCTCTCCAGTGCTGGGATTTCATGCTGCCACAAACCAGCTTTTTTTCATGAGTGCTAGGGAGTTGAACTCAGGTCCTCATGTTTGTGCAGAAAGTGCTTTACCACCTGGGTCATCTTCCCAGTCCCAGAAACTAGGATTCTGACCAACATTGTTTGATAAACCAAATATTCCTATTGGATGCTTCCTAACCTCTGAGTTGTAAAGATTGTTCATGCAAAGAGGATCCCAAGTCACAAAGCCCCAGGCTGATGGACACCCAGAAGAATTTCAGATGAACCAGCAGCTTGACATTTAAAGTATGAGGCAGTGTAGACTTAGCACCACATGCCCGTGTTGACCTGCCCCCTGTGGGTGACAGGTCCTCTTTCTCTTCCATCCCTCCATTCAAAGCCAGCACTATTTTCAGACCCCAAATCCAGTTGAACACCCACTGCTGTCAATGCACAAGTCGTACCTGCCTCTCCCCTCAGCGCCTTCTCCAGCCTCACGCCCTGGATTTCTGATGCCCTCTGATGCTCCTCCACCTCCTCTAGCTGCCTCTGGATGGCCTGCAAGATCAAGACCGCCTGTCACAAGGGGATCTGCATGTGTGGATGCACACAAGGGAGCTGAGCCTGCCACTAGCTCTCCAGGGAAAGATGTCACTGCCCTGGGTCACCTGGCAGAGACCTCTGAGCCCCCAGGAATGGACCTTGGTGCTTTCCTATTTTAGATGAACCACAGTGAGCAATCAGCCTGCACATAAATGACAAAACCTTTCCTCTGTGGAAAGAATGTAAGAACCAGAGGGACAAAACACCTGCTGCTAGTTAATGCAGTCTAGACATGATAAAGAAGCTATACGAATGAATCTCCACAGTATGCTAGTCTGACAAGATCTGCATAATGACAAAAGTTGACATGCCAATGTGGATGGGGGTAATGTCACGGGGGTCACGCCTTAAGATGAAGAGCTACAGGCAATCAATGGATACTGAGGTAGGGAGAATCAGTTTTCTCCAGGGAATAGCTCCTCGAGAGATTCTAACCCTAAAGGGCAGCCCTAAACACAGACACACATAAGCACCATTAAATGGACTCAATGCATTAGATTTATGTATATTTATAAAAGTATGTATGGTGCTGGAGAGATGGCTCAGCGGTTAAGAATACTGATTGTTCTTGCAGTAGACCCAGGTTCAAATCCCAACACCCACATGGCAGCTAACAACTATCCATAACTCCAGTCCCAGGGGATCCGACAGCCTCTTCTGACCTCCACGGGCATTGCACGACATGGGTACACTTACCTCCATGCAGGCAATACATGCATACACATGAAATAAAAATAATAAATAAAATTTTAAAAATTTTAAATTATTGTATCTATAATAATAATGAAGAAGAGGATAAGAAATTGAGAAGGAAGGGGGGATCATGGGAGGAGGTGTGGGGAACTGGGAGGGGTGGAAATAATGCCAAGATAATATTCATGTATGGACTTCTCAAAGATTAAAATTAAAATTAAAAACAATAAAAATGAAAAAATAAATAAAACCATTTTTAAAGTTAAAAAAAATTTCCTCTGACAAGACCCATCACACTAGAGTCCTCTAGGTGAGGGGATCCTGGGCTGACTAGGGGGTTCTCATGGGTCCTGGGCCCCTGTGAGCCCACAGCCAAGGACTATGATCAAAGGCTCAGTGACCAGGGCTAAGGCTACTCCTAAGCAGAGGCTGGGGGTAGGCTTATATTCTATTCTGCGGGAAGAAGTAGCTGATACCTCCTGGACAGGGAGGCCTGGGCCGCTCCTGGGGCTGCTGTTCCTTTTTGGATCATGCTGCCTTCTATCCTAGATACAAGTGGCCCCTGTCCTTTCTGTGTACCAGCAGCTGAAGCCCAGGGTACTAACACTGTAGAGGTGTCTGTGGCTCTGTTACTTTCTAGTTATGAAGACAGAACACAAGATACTGAACCCATTAGGGAACAGCTCATTCTTAGACCCACCCAAGCCCTTATTAATGGAATCATGTTTGTGTTTGTACATCTATTTTCTCTGCTAGCTACTCTTCTCCTGGATCTCGTAGGAAGGCAAATGGAGGAATGTCATTTACTTTTAAGGTGTGTTCATCTCCATCAACTTCCTTTGCTTTCAAACACGGGGCTGTATGTGTGTGAAGGGTTGTCTTAGTTAATGGATGAGGGATGATCCAGCCCACTGTGGGTGGCACATTCCCTAGGCAGGGGATCCTGGACTGTATGAGTGGAGAAATCAAGCTTAGTGCAAGTAAGCAAGAGGCTAAGCATGCATTCATTCATCTTTGCTCCTGAAGATGTGCGCTCTACATTTCTGCCACTTTGACTTCTGATGGTCTGTAACCTGGAATTGTGGCAACAATAAACCCTTTCTCCCCTAAGTTTTTTTTTTTTTTTTTGGTCAGGGTATTTTATCACAGCAATGGAAATGAAACTAGGGCAGAGTACCAAAAGACACAGTCCTAGGTAGAGCAGATCTTGCACATAGCTAAGCAGGTACATTAAAGAAACCATGAAGGCTGGAGAGATGGTTCAGTGGCTAAGAGCCCTGGATGCTCTTGCAGAGGACCCAGGTTTGAATCCCAGCACCCACAAGTCTGTTACTCCAGTTACATGGACTCCTGTGCCCTCTTCTGGCCTCTTTGAGCATTGCATGCATGGGTTCACTTTTACACATGCAAGCAACACCCATACACATAAAATAATAACAAATAAAATATTTTAAAGAAACCATGAGCTATCTGGGCAGGAAGTATACCTGTGCACCCCTCTACCTTGTTCCTAACTCTCATCCTTCTAAACCTCTCCTGGGATCATAGGAACAGTGGCCCAGGCACCTCTAATACCATGAAGAGACCCAACCAGGGGTAGGGCCCAAGCAGCCACCGAGCTCTCCCTGTCCCAGCTACAAGTATTTAAGTATAAAACATAAAGTAGATGGGAATTTTACTTATAACTGTAATCTCATGCCCGTTTCCTTTCTGTCACTTTAAAAGATGACGGTGTATTCATAAATCCATCTCTTCTTATTATAAAATTGTTAAAGATGAGAAACAGCTAAATGACTTTATTACTGATCACAGGGCAGTTACAGTTATGAGGCTGCATGAGCTAAATTGTGTTGCGTCTGAACTCATGGGCTGAAGCTTTAATTTCTCATGTGATTATACTTAGAGACAGGGTTTTTTTAGGCTATAACTGGGGTTCCCTGAGGTTGTAAAGAAGAGGAAGAGACACCAAACTCCCCCACCCCCATGCTCATATATAAAAAGACCTTGTGGGGCTCCAGTGGGATGGTATTGTCTCTAAGCCAGAAGCCAAGAAGAGTGGTCTTGGCAGACTTCAAGTTGATAACACACTGATCTCGCTGTTGTTTAAACCACCCAGTCTGTGGTCTTTGGCTGTAGAAGTCCAAGCAGGCAAACACAGTGCTGATTCTTAGACACTAAAGTGAAATTTTCATCAATTAAAAAGGACTGCTATGGGCTGGCAGGTTAGGACTCTGAAGACCAGAATCTTCTCTTATGATCCCCCTCCTGCCTACAGTGAGAAACTGCTGACTCTGCCAATCCGGATCATAGAGACTTGGTTTGTTCTTAGAAGGGAGACTTCACGGGCTTCAAAGAAAGCTGGTTTAGAAGCTGGGGACAGACAGAGGTGAGTATATGGGAGTCATCTCTGTCCAACATGAGGTGGCTCCTGGAAAGTCTCTGGGAGTAAAGGAAATTGGATTAAATGGCTTCATTTTTGGCAGAAATGCCTTTCAGGATGCTATAGTTTGGAGCTGGAATGTTCTCCAAAGGCCCATGTCCCTCCCTCCCTCCCTCCTCTCTCTCTCTCTCTCTCTCCCTTTCTTTCTTTTCTTTCTTCTTTCTTTCTTTCTCTCTCTCTCTCTCTCTCTCTCTCTCTTTCTTTCTTTCTTTCTTTCTTTCTCTTTCCTCCAGAAAGGGTCTTACTACATAACCCTGGAACTCACTATGTAGACCAAGTTGGCCTCAAACTCTCAAACTTATATTCACCTGCTTCTGCTGGGATTAAAGGTGTGTACTACCATACCAGGCCAAAGGCCCACTACTAAAATGTTGGTTCCCAGCCTTTGGAGGCAATGGAACTTGTAGGAGGTGGGTGGGTCTTAGGAGAAGAGTTAGGTCGTTAGGACTGTGTCTTGAAGAGGATATGAAGATCCCATCCCCTCCTTCACTCTCTTTGCTTCCCAGGGAGTCATGAGGTGAACAGCTTGTTCCGCCCCACATTCCCTGCCATGTGTCTCCCCATAGGCCCAAGCAACAGAGCCAACTGATCATGGATTAATAGCTCTGACCCTATAAGCCAAAACAAACCTTTCCTCTTTTAAAATTGATTATCTCTGGCATTTTGTTACATCAATGGGAAGCTGACTAGCACACAAGATCACATGGTCAGATAAAGGAGACAGTGGAAAGCAACAGAAGGTCCTATGGATTAATACATGTAATCATTTTAAGTCCTTAGATACTCAAGATTGACTGTCTTTCAAGATGAGTCTTTGGGAAAGGGAGAACATCTAGAATTTCTGCTTCATTTTGTCCATCTGTGACAGAGATGGACAGATCAGCTTGGACCGAAATGCTTCGAGTAAATCATCAGGGCAAGAAACACTAAGTCTTTGTGCTTTCAACGCATCTTGAAATGGAGACAGCCCCTGACAGCTATCAGTTTGGCAGAGACATAGTGAGGGAGTTGGCAGATGACTTATGTTCTAACCGAGCACAAAACCAAGGTCACTGTTATGAAGGATTCAGGGCTCAGAACGAAGGCCAAGGCCATGTGCCAGTCTCACTTTACAGGACACAAGACTGTAGATGGAAAGGTGACGGATTGTGAGACAGCTAAGTCTGCACTCTAGAATCCCACTGGGGATTGAGCCAGGACCTTTAGAATGGCAACAATCCTGGTTTCTCAGGGAAGGAAGACTGGCCCTTCCCAAGTACTTGATTGACTCCCAGAGGACTTTGCTTCCCATCCAGAGTCCCAGGGTCCCAGGCCCTCATGTTGCTGACCTGAGCCTTGTGGAGTCTTTTCAACTCTTCCTGCTTAACCAGCTGCTTTTCCCGTTTCCTCCTTCCTCTGAGCATCTTCTTCTCCTTTAAGAACCAACGGAGAAGAAAGAAATAAGACCAAGAAACTTTACAAAAATCATAGCCTTCTGCCCTCTTCATGCAGTGGCTCCCAGTCACTGCTCAGTTTCTAGAAGAACAGCATCCAAGAGAACATTCTACAATGATAAAAATGACCTCTACCTGTGCTACCTGAAAGGTGGATGCCAACAGTCTCAGGTGGTGACACAGTACTAGATATGAGCGGTGAATAGGAAATTGAACTTAAAATTTCAGTTTTCAGTTTTTAATTATGTGTATGTGTATGAGTGTGTGTGTGGGGGGGTATGTGCACATGAATATAGGTGCCTGTGGAGGCCAAAAGAGGGAGTGGCATTAGATCTCCTGGAGCTAGGGTACAGGCGGCTGTGAGCCACTAGACGTGGGTGCTGAGAACTGAACTTGGATCCTCTGTATGAGCAGTCCATGCTTTCAACCACTGAGCCATCTCTCTAGCCTCCCAATTTTATTTAGCTTTAATTAATCATATGTAGATATAAATCATAAATTTATGTAAACCATAAATTTGTCATATGTAAATTCAATAGTAACGTGGCTAGTAGATGCTGAAATGGGAAGCTGGTGGCTGTGTGTGTGTGTGTGTGTGTGTGTGCATGTGTGTGTGCGCGCGCACACATGAGCATGCATGTGTGGGACAGAAGCAACTTTATCCAGTACTGACTGGGTTCAGTTGAGGAAACTAATAATTTAAAAATTCTGCTTTGCATGACCACTATCATACTTCCTAGGGATGATAGACCTGGGGGAGACAGACAGACAGACAGACAGACAGACAGACAGACATACTCTCACTTTCCATGAAAACCAGTTAACTTTAAATACTGCTCACATTGGAAGGACAACATCTAATTCAACCTCTGAATAGGGGAATGTATCTAAATGATTCAAATGTATTTCTTGGCTTGAGGTAGATGTAAGATCACTGCCTGTCTCTACCTTTCCTGCTTATACAACACAGCATTACCATCACTGGGTTTGGTGTGTGGGCCTGGGCTTGTTAAAATAGAATCGAAAAAGCAAAGAATGTTCAAAATCGATACATGTGTAAGAGATGCTTGCATCTTCATGATGTCACTTTTTCTGAACACAGTGGTCCTGTGGCTGGTTCTACCTACTGGAAAGTTGAGGAAGCTTTGCTGATCAGAGAGGCAGAGTAATGGTTGAGTCCTGGACAGCCCAGCCAGGAAGGCTAGCATCACACCCCAGCTGAGCTGTGTAAGCCTTGGTATCCCCTCAACTTCCCCAGCAGACTTCATGTCCACCTCACAGGGACACAGTGAGGATTAGATAAGGTAACACCACCACACTTTAACATAAATCTTGAAATAAAAATGGAATACTTGGCAAATTGCATGATTTGTTATTAACATGTTTATATGATATTGTATCATATTAGCAACTGGCATGATTACTAACATCTATCATTTTGTGTGTAGGATACATACATACATACATACACACATGCATACACATCCTGTCTGTAGAAATGGTTCCTCTAGCTGGCCTGTGGGTTTGTCCTCCCTAAAATCCACAGTAACGTGCTGCACATTAGAATGAAGATCAGAGCATGCTAGATATTCCATACCAGCAGAAACCAGTGCGGGTGTAAGAACTGTGGTGACTACTCTCGTACCTGGTTGAGCTGACTGTTCATCAAATGCTTGTAAATCCCTAAGTGAGAGCTAGCATAGACACAAACGCTTATATGTTCATAAGTGGGGAACAGAAACAAAGACCTATTATCAGATCACTCGAGGTCTAAAACGGAAGTCGAGGAATGGAACGCTCTTAGGCTTCGGGACTTCCTGGATCCTTCTTGCTTGGGCCCCATCCCTTGGATAATGGTAAAGAAGCCATCCAAAGCATTCAGCTTTGAGGCCTTCAGTGAAAACCCCTATCTCAGAAAAGGAATTCATCTAGAATTCTCCTTAGGACTGAGAATTCTAACGGCTCTTTGAATTCCAGTCATCCCTAGTGCATCATCCGTTTTCTGGAGATGACTTTCCAGGAAGGCTGTCCT